GGATTACCTCCTCTGAGCTGGGAGAGGTGGGACAGGGGCCGGGAGCAGCAGTAGGGATGGTGGCCCAAAAGCCCTTTCCTGTGGGCTGGGAGCAGCGGGAGGGATAGTGGCCGGGAAGCCATCCTCTGGTCCAGGAGCAGTGGGACGGCGGCCCTGAAGCCCCTACATCTGGGCCGGGAGCAGCGGGACCCAGTACCGTGGTCTGGAGGTCTGGTGTCCTCTGCGTCTTTGTAGTGTGGAACCAGGTGGCTGTACAGAATAGGGGAGGGTGGGGGGGTCCAGTGGATTGTTGCTGGGGCACGGGCTGATTTGGCATCTTCTGCACAACTCGGGACCTCGGTAAGTTGTGGGCAGACCTCCGTATTTTTGAGTAATGACAAGGGAAAAGTTCCGTAAATTGGATCTGCAGCTGGTGAGTCAGCAGAACCCTTGAGTATGGAGGGTTCCATATCAATGCATAGAGATCTACCTGAGCCCTTTAATTGGCTAATCCACAATTTGTTTAACCTGTGCTGATGGATGTTTGAGTATTTTCAGTCTGAAAGCAAATCTGTCAAAGATACAGAAATCGACAGTAGCAAAAGTGGGTTGTCCACCAGCCGAGAGGAGAGGACCCTGCAGTCGGGGAGGTGGACCAGGTGGTGCAGAGCCTAGGCCTGGGCCACCCATCGCCCGCCCTTGAGCCCCGGCTAATTATGTGCTGTTTCTGCCCCCAGGAGCCTGATGCCCAGGACTCTGGAGACGCAGATCACGCTGGAGAAGACACCCAGTTATTTTGTCACCCAGGAGGCCCCTCGACGGATCTTCAACATGTCCCGGGACACCAAGCTGATCGTGGTGGTGCGGAACCCGGTGACGCGTGCCATCTCCGACTACACGCAGACGCTGTCCAAGAAGCCCGACATCCCGACCTTCGAGGGCCTCTCCTTCCGCAACCGCAGCCTGGGCCTGGTGGACGCGTCCTGGAACGCCATCCGCATCGGCATGTACGCGCTGCACCTGGAGAGCTGGCTGCGCTACTTCCCACTGGCCCAGATCCACTTCGTCAGCGGTGAGCGGCTCATCACTGACCCGGCCGGCGAGATGGGGCGCGTGCAGGACTTCCTGGGCATCAAGAGGTTCATCACGGACAAGCACTTCTACTTCAACAAGACCAAAGGGTTCCCTTGCTTGAAAAAAACACAGTCGAGCCTGCTGCCTCGATGCCTGGGCAAATCCAAAGGAAGAACTCATGTACAGATCGACCCCGAGGTGATAGATCAGCTCCGGGAGTTTTATAGACCTTATAATATTAAATTTTATGAAACCGTTGGGCAGGACTTTCGGTGGGAATAAGCCGCCCCCGGGCTCTTCCCTCCTGTCCTGCGTGAGGTTTGCTGTGTGGCCTCCAGTCTTCCTCTCTCAACAGACTTGGCCCCCAGTCCCCTCCCCTCTTGGGCTCCACCCTTTTGGAACCAGGAAGTTCCGAAGGCCAAGGCCCAGAGACCAGGGGTTCCCTGGCACTGGTTCCCGCCGACTTGTCCAGGCAAATTTGATCTGCCTCTGGCACATCCATTCGATTCCAGAATTGTCTCCCTTCCACCTGTGCGAGGCCTCGAGGGAATTGCCGTGAGGAGAGTGGATCTTCCAGTGATCAGAGAAATACGTGGTGATAGTCCTGTTGCTGTAAACACAACCCCCTGTTCCTGTCACCGCCCACCCAGGAATGGGTTTGTTAGTTCCAAGTGGCATGTACTTTCCCTCTGAGCTTAATTCCCCGGAGCAGCCCTGGGTGGTGGGGTGGGAGAGCGTCCTCAGTCCTTCTCAGATCTTTGCGGAGATCGCAAAGGCAGAAGTACCCCTTTGATGATGGTAGAAGGCAGTGATTTCAAACCTGTGGTTGGAGGACAGCCTTTGAAATCCACTCTGTGACTCTCCTTGCTCCCTGTGAACAAAAGCACATAACTCTGCTGTTACGGGTACTTTCCTCATGCGAGCTTTCGTGTGTAGCATGCGACAGAATCATGCTTGTCCATGTGAAATAAATATGGCTCTCTTGTGTCCTTGACTAAACTGAACTTTTTCTCTGTAAGCCAGGCCTACTGCATGCTCCGTTCATTCACCTCCTCCCACTGCAAGGTGCAGTGGGTGCTGGGGATGGTCTGGAAGGGTAGTGAGGATTGCACAGATGGAACTACAGCAGGGAGAGGCCAGAGTATGGGGGCGGAGGAAGAGGTTCTTGCTGCAGAGGTTGGCACAGAAAGATCACACAGGGACCTGTATGGGACGTTCTCTTTCCGACACGTATGTCTGACTGCTGAGATCTTTGCTTAGGCACTTTAGACTGCAAATGCCAATGACCTAAGGGTTGAGGGGACAATCATATACCTTTTGCTTGGCCAGCACGGTGTTTTGAGAATAACTACAAACAGTTAAAACTGGAAAAACTAGAGGCATTTATATAAACATATAAATCCGCCCCTTTGGTACTGGGTATTGAGGCCAAGGCCTTGAGCACACTAGGCAAGTGCTTTCCCATGAGCTACACACCAGCCCTTTTGAAATTATATTTTGAGGCAGGGTCTTGCTAAGTTGCCCAGCCTAGGCTCCGGCTGCAGTCTCCCCAGTAGCTGGGTTATAGCCATGTGCCCCCATGCCTGGCCTTAGCTGCTGTGGTGGCTGCTGCTGCTGCTGCTTTTTTTTGGTATTGAGGATGAACCTTGGGTCTGTCACTGAGGTACTTCTTCAGCTTTTTAACTTTTTGTTTTGAGACAAGTTCTCACTAAATTGTTGAGTTGCCCAGGATGGGCTCAAACTTGTGAACCTCCCAAGTGGCTGAGATTACAGGCGTGCACCACTATGCCTGGCCTCAGCTTCTTATGTTTTTAAGTGGAATTTTGGCTACACCAAGCCTGCGCTCCAGCATGACAACTAGTTGCCACCTTTTCGGTGGGGCCTTCGCTCCTCAGCTTCCTCTCCCAACTTACACCATCCGCCAGGCCCCTGTAGGCCTTTGGGTCCCCAGCCACACCTTGAATGTGTTGGAGAACCTCAAGAGAGTGTCCCAACCCTCCAACGTGGCACCCAGTCTGACCCTGACTTGGGGTTCCTGGCTCATCTGCTTCTCCCCCATCCTCTGCTCTACCCTCACGGAATTCTGTTCCTTTTCTTATCTCCATCCGTGGCCCAGGCCCTTTCCTTTGCCCTCCTGCTCCCTCGTCTCCTCCTGATAGAAAACCATGAAGGCTTCACTCCAGAGCCACTTGCTTGGTATTTATGAAACTTTCCCTAGCTAAGCCGACATATCAGCTCACTTCTCCTTTCAGTTATCCGTAACTTGATGTCAGCATGTGTTACACTAGGCTATGCTCATACGTGTCCACCACAGGCAGTGAACTCCTGGAGGACCAGGCCTGTCTTGCTAACCTAGGGTGAACGTATGCAGCGATGAATGCATGGTGGAGGCCTGGGGGTAAGGGCAAGAACCTCCCAGTAACTGCATTTCTGGGATTTGCTTCCCAGAGAGCTCTAGAGCACAGGTGGCCAGGAAGGACTGCTGAACCCCGAGAGCCCCTCAGCTTTTGTCTGCTCTGTCAGGCGTGGAAGACCTTCCTTGAAAAGCAAGATCTGACTTACAAGGGAGAAGACACAAAAGTTTAAAGCATTAGCTCTGTGTCTTGGCTCTTCTTTCTGACCGGCAGCCACACTGGAAGCATCTTCCAGCCAGAGCACCAAATGACTGGCCCCGTGGTACTGAGCAGTCAGGTCTGTGAGTTTGCCGCTCTGTGCTTCCCATGTCAGTAATCAGGAGGGAAGGGGAGTCACTATGCTTGGAAGCTGGGCCCCTGAACGCCTGGTGGCCAGAAGAAGGATGAGTCTTGTGGGAACATTAATAAATTGCCTTTCTGTTTTCCCCATCCAAAAGCATTTGGTGTCCTGGGGTCCTGAGCCATGTGGTTGCCAAAGCTATATCTATATCAGAATCACCTTGGAATATAAAGGAAGTACCCTGTAGAAAGCTAGTGAAATGTGCATGTTTATCCTGACTGGGAAGATGTCAGTCAGAATTGAAAATTCTGGATTTTGTGTGCAGAAAATGCAGCTTCATTCCTTTGCAGTAAAATATTTTCAGACTGCCCAGACTAAGTAGCCTCCCGGTTTTAATGAATAGGTATGAGTTTCTTATAATTAGCATATCAATCATGGTATGCAAAGAGAAGATGCTAAAGTACCTTAAAAATCCTACTTTAAATGAGTGAAATCTGTAGTCCATGAATCTGCTCAGCAACCTCTGATTTTTAATCCTGTGCAAATGTACCCTATCACTCAGGCTGCCCCAGGGCAAACTGGCATAAGTTCCAAATTAGTATGGCTTACACAGATGAAGTTTGACTATTCAATCTGAGACTAAAAAGGCTCCTCAGGGTGTACCTGTGTGTGTGCGTGTACATATTTGGCTAAGTTGCTGAAACAGAAACCCAAAAGAGCAGTGCCTTAACAGACTGAAGTGTGTTCCTCTGTGATGGTGAACCTATGGCACATGTGCTGCAGCGGGCTGTTCATATCATTAAACTCTCTAGAAGGTTCACCATCTCTGGCTCTGAGAGTGTGGGGGTCCACAATACCGGAGACTCAGAATCCTTGCATCCAAGTGCCTGTGATTCAGGATGGCTCACCCTATGACTGTAGTCCACGCAACAGAAAGAGAGTGAGAAATGAATAGAGACCACCACCCAAGAGAGAACAAACAAGCTTGCTACAGCCAGGAGCCTTGCACTTGACAGAGCCTCGAAGGCTGCCAGAGGCCCAAGGCTCTCTGCCTGTGGAAGCTGGAGCCAGGCTCATTAGAAGTGGGGCATCTTCTGTGATTGGTTTGGAGATACATTTGACTTTCTCTAGTTGGCCAAATGAAGGGAAGAGAGCAGTCATTATCCAAGTCCTGATCATTCTGGGCCAGTTACTACAAAGGATGCAGGCCCAAGTTTCACTGTCATATCATCTAGCCTTTCTCCCATTGGTACATTCAGTCTCTCAGAAGCAAAAAGGGCCACAGGAAGAACACACCTCTTCCTTTTGAGGTTGCACCATCATTTCTATCCACAGATTTCCCATATTGTGAATGGTTCCCCTACAGTGGTGCAAAGGGGTGCTATTACTCTCACTACATCCTCAGGTAGACGCAGTTCCTTGGTCATGCACTTACAAGCTGGGAAATGTAATCTTTCATTTGGGGGGTACCACACTCAGCTAGAAACAGAATATCCTCCTAGCTTACCAACATTTTCCAACCCATTTTCAAAGTGTCTCCACCCCTCTCTCATTTGAGACAACCAGGTGGTCTCCCCATCCTTTTAATTTGACTTCTCAAGACAAGTGCTCCAGCTCCAACGTTTCTCTGCCTCAGTCTCCACCTAGTAAGCTGGCTCCCTACAGGCGTGGCAGGAGAAAGGGAGACATCTGATTTGTAGTATCTGCCAATTTCCCTGGTGTAAATACACCCATTGTGGCCAGTTTCAGGCTACCAGGGTGGCATTGCTGAATGCAAAGTTATGAAGTTATGTACACAATCAACTCTAGGAGACGAATCTAGCCAGGCCTAGCACACCACTACAGAATCTCACCTGGCCAGGAAACCCTGACAGAATAAATCAGAGGCTTCAGAGTTTTGTTACATGCTTGTGTGGACACACAAGTGCCTAGGCTAAGCCCTGGGCACTGGACCCAAAACATTTTCAACACTAACTCACACTATTTCGTCAGATGACACAATGGAATCACCTCGGAAAGACTTTAACTCACCTAACGTCAGTTCTATTCTGTCAGAGATAGAAAAGGAGAGATGATTAAAATAGTATGAATTTAATCCACCATTTTACAGATAAAATGAGTATGTGTTATACAATGAGCACAAGAAAGAAGCCTTGGGTCTTTTCTCCTCCCACTCCATGCATGCCCTTCACTGTACGGGCCTTTGCCTCCCTAATTATGATTCTCATGTTGATCATTAGTCATTTTATATACTTCATATACTCCATGGTCCCTAAATGCAAGTCACCTAGTTCCTCAGAGCCCCACTGGATAAACAGAAATCTGTTGCAATGATGAACCATTACAATTGTGGTTTGAATTGATGTTGAAACTTAATTTCCAATGAGACAGTATTGAGAGGTAAAGCCTTTAAGAAATGATGAGGTCATGAGAGCTCCTCACTCATGGATTGGATTAATAGCATTATAAAAGGGCTCAAAGGAGTGAGCTCATCCACATTTTATCATCTGTCCCCTCCACCATCTGGGGACACAGCAGCAAGCCGCCATCTTGGAAGCAGAGACTAGATCTTCACAATAAACCGAGTCTGCTGACAGCTTTATCTTGCACTTCCAGCCTCCAGAAGAGTGGGAAATAAATTCCTATTGTTTATTGCTTATACCTTGTCTATGGTCTTTTCTTGTAGCATCACAAATAGACTTAAGATGGACAATGAAACTGGAAGTGTTGGATTAAGGACATTTCTCAAGGCAATTTTGTCTATGTCCCTTTGTCTTCTGACCTGTTGACTTTAGAACTTCATCTCTGAGTACGATACAACTCCATTTTATTTGAGCCCCACTATTGGGCACTTTATCCCCAAGGTACACACAGACATAGGTAATAATCACCAGATTGCAGGAGAAGGAACTAGATCATGAAGGAAAGATGCAAGAGAAAAGCAGGAGATGATGAAAGCAACTTCTAAAACATCTTATTTCATACATCTTCCTTCTGCTTGCTCCTGGGAGCACAGAGCTTGTGCCCCTTCCCCACTCAACGGTGTTTGATGAAAACGCAGATGGCAGGCATGTGTGTGACTGACATGTTATTCCCATGTACCCTGAAGGACTGAAGATGAACCTGCATGATGACACGTTTCTGTTTGATGCGCACCTGACAGGCACATGATTGACTCCACGTGGCTAACTGAATTGTGGCTGGCTAACATGTGTCAGGACATGACCCACCTCGGTCTGGAGAATGTATGAGGACCACCAGCCCGACTGACATATGCTCTCCCTTGAATCAGT